CCAAAACCCCAAAACCCCAAAACCCCAAAACCCCGACTGAATCCTAAGGAATTGAAATAAAATAAAGATATGCGCAAAGTTTTACTTTGTACAAAGAGCTTAACTAATGAAATTACGCTAAAATGAACTCTATTAAGAAATTGAAGAAACTCAAACAAGAAAATGATATGAAGATTGAGTTCGGAAGAAAGATGCGAGAGAATAAACCTACTTTTAATATGGTAGATGTACTAGAAAATGAGCTTTCTCCACTAAAGTCCTCCGTCATCAACATCAAAGTGGGTTTTCTATCCAAACCTTATGTCCAGATGACCATTACCCCTAACCGGCCAAAGAATCCTGAAAGGTTGATCAAAAAGGCTTGCTCTCTGCAAGCAGTGAAGTTTCAGAAGGATATGAAACTTTTTATTGCCCCTTTCAGTGTTGTTAATAACCTCTCTTTATTGCGCAATGGAGATCAATTAAGGATATTTACTAGTGAGCAGACCCAGCCATTCTTGAAGCAGAATCTACAGAAATATCATCAGATAAAGTCTCGAATCACTATGGAAGAGCAAATGATGACAAGTGTCATTGAAGATTGCTCTACTCAGAAAATAGTAGCAGAGAAATACCCAGGAGCAGTTCCAATCAGATGGATATTTAAAGATCAAATTGATGAAGATTCCAAAGATTTCTTACAAGGTATGGATACTCATGGCTACAACTGGAATGGGAATCCTATTTATCAATATCAAAATTATGAAAGATCTAAAGACTCTCAAAGCAAGATTAGCAATGACTTAGGTAAGGATCAAGAGAATGAATATGAAGAAAAATATCAATCCCAGAATAACTCACCTAATGTTTCAACTGATTTAGGCTTAAACCCCATAATTTGAATAGACAAAGAGGTCAATTCTGTTGGTGATAGTAAGATACTAAAACCTGATGTATCAGAAATAATAGAGATTCCAACTGCAAAGCCTACTCCTGGAATAATTCGACAAACTCCTTCAAGCTCTATTGCTAAAAAGAATTGTGAAATGATTGAAAATCTGCTTAAAAAGCAATCTGAGTTAGTAATAAGTTCTAGTAGTGAAGATACTGCTCCTACTAAGATTATCAAAACTGGGCCTAAGCGTAAGAAGAGGGATCAAAAAGTTATATGAGATTCTCTAATGCCTGTTTCTTATAATGCTATTGATACAGGAGCAAAAATAAAGAAAAAGAGACAGAAGAGATACTAAAAAAATTGTAATTTAATAAAAAATTATCCAGTTTATGCTATTCTAAATTCTGTTCAAGTGTTTAATTCTGGGTGAGGTTTCAGTTCCTTCGAAGGAGTCAAACAGCTAGTACTGTCACTGTCTGAAGTATATCCAGACTCTGGAATCTTTCCTGTAAGTAAAATCTCTATTCTTTTTGGAGGATTCAAACCGAAAGATTTCGCTCGCTTGTAACGAATGTCTCTAGGGATTCCAATTCAAGGGCCATATTTCGGATCAATATCGAACTCTACTAACTCTTTCTCAATCTTTTCAAAAATTTTGTCTTTGCTTAATTTTTTTACGACAGGCGATTTCTTAGCCATTGAGAATAATGTCATTTGCTTGTTCTTTGCTGGTTTGCTTCTCTGAGCCTTTCTCTGTCTTACATTTTCCCTCTTTTCTTTGAGCTTTTTCAACATTATTTAAGAAATGGTGTCCAAATTAATAAACCTGATTTAAAGCTAATTTGAGTATCTTCTTAAATTAAACACTTCATGGGGTTTTGGGGTTTTGGGGTTTTGGGG